CACCTATATAACAGCGAGCTGCCGCCGAGCTCTCTACGAGGGGGCAGCGATAATTCCATCTTTATAAAAATACAAAAAGGGATCATTACGTGACTAGAGTCCTCCGAGCGAAGCACCTCACACTAATAGTAGTTAGATTCTAAAATTCTAATCTTTATTAGAGTATATACTATAGTCTATTTAATAATTAGTATTTAAAAAGTATTCTTTATTATTAACTATACTAATATTATAAGTTAATAAGTCTTTATAATTTATTATATTTATTCTATAGTTTTCTTTTATTAGTTTCTACTATTTCTTAAATACTTTATATTAATTTATAAAATATCTTAACTTCCTATAGTTATAGTAAGTCTTCTCTTTCTACTTAAGAGGGTTTATATATATTATATTCAGTTCTATAGAGTCTAAATAAGTTCTCTATACTATAGACTCTCTAATATATTATTTATTATTTAGTTAATTATATAATAACTAGTAGTTCTATTTATTTTATCCTTTATACTTAAGTTATTTATTATAAAGTTAGTTATTAACTTTAATAATTTTATTAGTAAATTTATTAAAAGTATTAAATTAATTATCCTTTATAATTTTATTCTTTATATTCTCTTATAGAGTATTATAGAGTAGCTTTATTATACTATTATTATTTTATTTAAAGTAGTTTAAAATATACTTAAATTCCTTTATAAAGTATTAAGTAGATTTAGTCTACTTAAGGGTATTAAGTTTATATATACTAGTATATATTTTATTTAAGTCTTTAAAAGTAGTTTAAAGTAATTCTTTAAAGTGTTTATATTATCTAAAGATTTATATAGTTTTATTCTTAGGTTCTTTATTATTAAAATAGTCCTTAAGAGTTAGCTCCTACTACTCTATTACTTTTCCTATAAAGAGGTTTTTAATATAAAGTATCTATACTATAGGGTTAATAATAATAGTATTTATATATAAATAAACTTTTATCTAAGTTATAAAATTTTAAATATTATCTTTAGTTCTATTAAATAAGTTAGGTTTAAAGAACTTTAGTAAAGTAAGGGTTCTATTATTAGTATTCTTTATAGTCTAGATTTAAATAATAAGTATATTAATCTACTACTTTATTTATACTATAGTATTATTTAGATTAGTTATTATACTACTAGTAGTAGATATTATAAAGATTAACTACTTATAGTTTTAAAAGTAACTTCTTAAATAGGACTAATTAAAATATAATAATAGTTTAATCTTAATCTATAATTAGTCTACTTCTTAAGTAGAGAGTTAGTTTAAATATATAAATATATATAAGTAGTTATTATAGTATAAATTATATTAGAAGATATCTTCTAATAATAGAGTTATTACTTAGATTAATTAGTAGAGTTTTAGATTACTTAGTTATAAGAATACTTCCTCTTTAAGTACTTATTTATCTTTCTACTATAACTCTAGATTAGAAGGCTTAACCTTTAATCCCCTAGATCTCTATAGGATTACTACTAGCTTACTATAATCCTTAGTAATCTAGTTATATAACTTTATATTCTAATTAAGTGACTTATAGGTTCCTACCTAGTTGCTTCCTTTAGCCACCTCCTAGCTACTTTATATACATTCTTAATTTATAATACCTATATAGTGTCTAGTTTAAAAAGAAGAAAAAGCTATAGAGGCTATTAAAATATATATTAATTATATAAATAGTAGGATATACTATATAGAAGTAGAAAATAACTAGCTTATTAGAGGTAGAAAATAAAATCCTTAGAGGTTAGTTTAAATACACTTAGTATTAGCACCTAAGTGTTTACTAATAAGAACTTCTATATACTAATAGTACTACTAACTTCTTTAGTTATATACACTTATTAGTATTCTTAATAAAATATAAATAAGTACTAGTTATTATATATAAATAACTCTATTACTTCTAATAAACCTATATTATACTAGTGACTATCTTTACCCCCCCTTTTATAGGTGTATCTTAGTAATATATACTAACCCTCTTAACTACTTTTCCCTAACCCTAATATATATAATAGACTATAGTAGATAGTAGGTTAGGCCTATTTTAACCTAACTATATAAACTTTATAATACTATAATAATATTATATCTTTTATAATAAACTTATACTTTAGAAACTACTATTATCTTAAATTTCTCTTTTTAATAATATACACTATACCTATTTTACCTAGCTATACGGCCTATTTCACTTTAATGAACTCTACTCTAACTTTTTAACGAACTCTACCCCCTACTATTTTATAGGGCTCTATAAATTTTTAACGAACTCTAGTACAGTTCGTTAGCGCATTAGTGATAGTAATTACAGTGTCAACAAACTACGTAAATATCACTAGTCATCCTTGTCTGCACAAGCATGACTACACTATGCCATCCGCAACTCCCGTCCCGTCTCCTCCTCCTCACCGTCGCCAACTTGCCTCGCACTGGCACATTCTCCTGCATACCCACCTCCGGCAAGCCTCCAACTCCACCCCCTTTTGAAAGGCCAAGCATAGGAGATGCTTAACTGGCCGCGTATGCATCATGCAGCCTGCTTACGACAAGCTTCAATTCCGCCGCCGCTGGCCGCGAACAAGTTCTGCGCGAATCGACCCCCAGCAATTCCAGGACACGGGAATCGAGGTCTTGCGCTGCCGTGCTGGAATAAAAACCCGTGACACCCCCTCTCGTAACCGTCCGCCGTGCATTTGTTGGGCACCATTTTTGTCTGGCAGGTTTGCCTAGGCAGTTACACACTTAGGCTATTCTCGTACTGTTTTCATCGCTTCGTAGTTGGCCTTTTCCGTGGTCGGCTCTCCAAATGGCCATGTGGAGATGGATGACTGGTTGGTGGGCTGGTTGGGCCATAGTAACGCTCCTCAATTGCAGAGATGAAAAAATAAGTGGCGAGGTCGAAGACGACGAGGCAATGAAACTAGGCGCGTTATCACGACTTTTTTGGATTGCTACGACGCTTCTTCCCGAAAGAAAAAGAGGAAAAAAAGTCAGGCCAGGCCAGACGGTTGGAAATTTTTTTTCCATGCTGGGCGGGCAGCCGAGAGGGGCAAGCAGGGTCCAGCTTTTTGGTCGGTCGACATACAACTCGAGCTGTTGCTCACAAACATCTACAACTAAATAGCGAGGGCAGCATTAAATTCCAGGTAATGCCAGTTAACTAGCATGTAGTAAAACAAACTAATCGATATTCTGAGATTGTGGCGATTTAATCCACCAGAATAATACCCTGGACTGTTAGCAACTGTCTCCTCGACAAGGTTGGTGTTGGCTCAAGTTTACAGAGTAGCTTCCTGCAAGCACGATTGGAAACCCCCATCCTAGCGGCAGCTTTCATCGCTGGTGTAACATGTCTTCTACTCGGTACGATTTATGAACACTACCAGCACCGGTTTACGGGTAACATGGCTCATGCTACGGCAAAGCCTCGTACTATGTCCTCTACTTTGAGTTGCACGTCGATAGGCTTATTCAACTTTTTTAATAAAATTTCCAATCTCACGACAGTCACATCGGCACCCAAGGCATCGGCTAGGGAGCATATGAGGGACACTTGCTAATATGGGAAGCAAGATAAACTTCAACATAAGCTGTAGAGCTAGCGACCGAGCGAACGGGTGGGACAAGCCCGTTATCAGCCATAAACCCTAAGATCACAGACTTCACAGCCACCCCCAAAAATAGGCCCAAGCGGCGGACCGATGTAGAATGCGGGAAGCTGACATGTATGCTGCACCAATGAAGTCGATTGCAACACACAGATCCATGTTTACGCAAATGATCCACTCGAGAACAGCGAGTCGAAGCTCTTTAAAAGTTGCATGTCTAGGCGCAGATCTCCTCGAGAGTTGCCGTCCTTGTTCAGTGTTATAGCCGAGCTGGAGGGCGTGGCGTCGCGACTCTTCGGTCCAGACGTGCGTTGCTTTCGGCACTACGAAGATGCGAAGTTGCTATAAAACTACCTCTCCTTTTTGATTGTCTCTCAATTTCACTGTTGAGCGGTAGCATTTATTTTTGTTTCTTCGCCTGTGTTTCGCGGAGGAAAATTGACGCCAGCCCCGTGGGCTATGGGCAACTATGAAAGGTAGCACGTGCATTAGCAACTCTACATAGCAATATAAGAGCACATGCATATGCATAAGATAGTCACCTGTTCACTGCATAGAGGGCGCTCTTTTAAGATTATTACCTGAAAGTATTATGATTAAGGCTCGCTAGGAGAATACCTTCCGCGGTTCGTCTATCCGTGCCGTGACTGTCCAAGCCCATTGGGCGGAGACTCAACGAAGCCCTCACAAATCATAAACCGTGTTCCCTGAAACGCGAGGTGAAGAAGAAGTCTAGAAAAAGTCTAGGCCTAAGATTTTACCAAAAGATAAAAGAGTGCGCAAATCCTTCCACTTCTAGGTGTAGCTGTTTGCCCCTCTAAGCTGGATATGGAAGGTTCTGTAGAAACGCTCTTCTTGGCCGACGAGGGAATTTTTTGGGCCAAAGCCTAGCGCTACTGCGAAAACATAGATCCGACACGCCTTTTATTACTGTTGATCCCGGGACATCATCCCGGCCTTTACAGGGGCACATCATCGGAAGCTTCTTTTTGCTTGTCTAAAAGGCCCGCTGCCAAGGGCCGTCTAGTCTGTAAGGCGCCTGGCGCTCTCTGGGGAACAGCGACCTCCCCGATTGAGAAGGTCATGCTTATTGTTTTCTCTTGCCCCCATGACAGTGTCGGTAGTTGCAAAGGCAGACGAAGCCAGAAAGCTTTATCGGTGGCCTCTCGTATCAAGTGCGAAGGGACGATACCGGGCCGCTAAGAAGGGAACGATTCGCGGAGGGAATCAGAACTGGCAAAACTATATAAAGATGAAGATGGAAGCTGTAGGATATTTAGAATTGCTTCATCACTGGTACTCAACACACTCTAAATACTTCATTGATACCTTCTGTCTACTGGCTTCGCTTGAACCTCAATCAACATGTCTCTTAAGAAGTCGCTTGCTGTTGCAGCCACCATCGTGGTGGCCGTCTTTGGAGCCGCTCTTCGCGAGTTCGAGGAATGCGGCACGGAAGAGCCGGGCCCAGAGATGCGCGTCGTCGCTGCCCAGATGGCTGCTGATGAGCGAGCCGCATCGGCCGTTAAAGTCGACGCGAAGCGTGCTTCCGACATTGACATCCCTACCTACATCCACGTCGTCTCATCCTCCAAAAGCGAGTCCGACGGCAACATTCCCGTAAGACAAGAATTACCCATATATCCCTAAATCCTCTGCTGTGTCTGTGTGTGTTGTGCTGACGTATCCTCTTCTTCTTCCGATACAGGACTCCACGGTCAATGCCGCCATCTCCTCCATGAACGACGGCTACAGTGGCAGCGGCTTCCAGTTCTCCGTCCAAAAAATCACCCGCACCGTCAACGCCGACTGGTCTAACAACAAGAACCTCGAGACCATGAAGTCCAAGCTGCGCCAGGGCGACTTCCGCACCCTCAACATCTACATTGTCCCCAAGCTCGTCACCTCGGACGGCGTCGGCCTCAACGGCCAGTGCACCTTTCCGTTCCGCTCGCCGAAAAATGTGCCCCAGGACGGCTGCATCGTCCGCACCGGCGCGTACAGCAACGAGCAGACCACACCGCACGAGGTCGGCCACTGGCTCGGCCTGTACCACACCTTCCAGGGCGAGACGGACACCAAGTCGTGCGATACGACAAACGACTATGTTGATGACACGCCGGCGATGAAGATGACGCGGGGCTGTGATACGGACTCGGACACATGCCCGGGGGGCGGCAAGGACCCGGTGACCAACTTTATGAGCTACAATAGCTGCCGCACCGTCTTTACCAGCGGCCAGCATGACCGCATGAACAGCATGTACAACAAGTACCGCGCTTAGGTTTCTGAGAGAGGGTTGATGGAGGTTATGCTTGGTGTTTGAAGCTTGGAGCGAGGCGTACGGAGTGATAACTTTGCCTGAACACCTAGAGGTAGCGAGACACTTGTGCGGAAGGATACATGTAGCGAATTTGATGAACGATGTACCGTGTCTTGTCATCCGCGGCATCTGTAGCTTTGCGGATGGGCGGGAAGATACTGGTTGGAGGTCATATGCTGCAGCTAAAGCTGCGGCATACGCTAAGGAACTTTTGTATCAACTTAGGTCGACCATAGGGGAAGGACCCTTAGAGAGAAAAAACGCGTGCAGAGAAAAGGATCCTTCAAGGAAGGGACAATGCGTAGACGCAGAGGGTTTTCGAGTGGAGGGGCATCGTGAAGGGAAGAGACCCTGCAAAGGAAGGACAACGTGCAGTAAGGGAGGTCCTTCAGGGGAGGTACAATGTGCAGTGGAAGAGACCCTTAAAGTGGAGAGGCATGGTGTAGTGGAAGAGATCAAGTAAGTGGAGGAACAACGTGCGGTGAACCAGGTCTTACCTGAGAATTAGTTTTTTTATCTCCTTTTCTTTTCTTTTTCTTTTCCTCGTCTTTTGTTACTTTTGGTTTTTTTCTTTTTCCTTTTTCCTTTTTATGCTATTATTTCCAGTTGGCCTAAATACAGAGGGTGCATCTATAAGAGCATGCATTAGTAACTACTTGACTAGCTCATAGTAATAGAATACAGCGCAGTCCAGAGTGGCTGGTTGGTAGATGAACCAAGAGAGGACTGTGGACTTGTTCATGATCTTTAAATTATTCTAGAACTCGTTCAATGAACAATAAACATTGTCCTGCGCAGGCATCGTACGTAGGATCTGGGGGGAAATAATAACGTCTCTCGTAGTGAACTCTATAGGAAAGCATTTTGCCACTGTGTAGTCGATGAGATGCTAATTAGATCTTAGAACATGACGAGAATATCTTGTCAAAATTTAAAATTTATCGGTCTATAAATATTATATATACTAATGGAGAGAATAGTTGTAGGGGATTTTGCCTCACAGCAGCATCGCCCGAGTCATTCGTTTCTATTAACTTCCCATCATCCGAGACTATTCCTTCAGAACTGTCCTTTGCTTATTCTTAGTTTACTTGGACTGGTCGTTCTGAGCAAGCTGGTTCTTGGAGGTCTCGTGGAGACCGGTGATGGCGCCCTGGATCGCAATGCTCTGCAGGTACTCGCACAACTCCCCAGCCTTCTTGCCCTGTCCCATGAAGTAGGCCGCGAGACCGGCAATATGCGGCGACGCCATCGAGGTGCCGCTCATAACCGTGGTGCCGCCGCCTATGGCCAGGCTGCGGACGTCGACGCCGGGTGCGTGAATGTTGACCTTAGGCCCAAAGTTGGAAAAGTAGGCAATTTTATCCTTAGAGTCGGTCGCGCCGACGGTGCAGGCGTACGGCGCGGCGGCGGGCGACATCCGGGAGGCGTCGATCGGGTAGACGGGGCAGTTATCGCAGTCCTTCTTGCCGTTGCCGGCGGAGACGGCGACGAAGATGCCGCCCTTAACGAGCTTCTCGATGGCATCGTTGGTCGCCGTTGAGGTGTACTCGCCGCCGAGGCTCATATTGATGACGACGCCGTTGGGGCAGCTGCGGTTCTTAGAGTCCTGCGCGGCATAGTCAAGGGCATCGAGGATGTTCTTAGTCGAGCACCGGCAATCAGCTGTACTGCTGTTGTAGTCGATGATCTTGATGCCGAAGAGGGACGCCTTCTTGGCCACGCCATACGTGTCACTGCCGATGGTGCCGGCAACGTGGGTGCCGTGTCCGTCGCAGATCTTAGTGTCCATGTTTTGGCCGTTAAAGGACTTGATCTGCTTGGCGCGGCCGCCAAAGTCCTATTTGTAAGGGTTAGAGCGTTAGTTTTGAGTCGTTTACGTAAAACCGCCACTTAGGAGACTTTAACGCGTGAAAAAGAGGTCGACTACTTACAGAGTGGGAAGCGTCGACACCAGTGTCGATAATGTAGGCGCAGGTTCCGGCTCCTAGGGACGTCATGTCAGAGGCCTATTACCAATCCAATACATGGGGTGTTATTACCTGCAGATTCATCGTAAACGTACTTAGTGGCGCCAGTCTGTTTGCTGGAGAGGCGAGCAAGACCCCATTCGGCCGAGCTCTGCGTGACGGGAGCGAGAGCCTTTGCAATCGCGTTATGCTCCACGTACTCGACCTACAAGATAGTGGTTAGCTTCCCATGTCTCGATCAAAACAGTGCCCCTAGAGCGAAAGCGACGATAAGAGAAAACGAAAAAGTCCTACATCGGGGTGGTCGCGGATGAGCTGGAGACTCTCAGCATTCAAGTGGCTGGAGAAGCCCTTGAAAATCTCGCTCAAGACATTGGCATTCCCGTTGGCCAGCGACTCGGCGGTCTCCTTGACGGTTTCGAGGGAGCTGCCCTTTTTGAACTTGACAATGTACTCGTCAGCGACGATGCTGCCCGCGTTGGCGCCCCGGGGGAACAGCAGAGGAGCGGGCTCGGATCGTTTTGCAGTAGGGACAGCCGCGACTAAGGGCAGGAGGGAGAGGAGGAGAGACAGTTGCATGATGGCGATACTAAAGGGGAGTCTTAATAGATGTTTATATAAGTAGTGAAGATCTGCGGCGGTATTTGATGCTGAGACGGATGCTGGTATTCCACGGGGACAGAACTCCTATATATATATGCGGCCTATCTGTGCCAAGCTCTTCTGAACAATTCAATAGTACTATGAGATGATGGGGAGTATTCTCTCCTAGTCAAAGTACTTGCACGACGTATACGAGCAAGTTCACCTTGATAGTCATAAGTCCAGTTACACTTCAATTATCTGGACCATGATTACTAGGCGCTGCCTCATCCATGATTCGCACACCTTCCTAAACTACACAAAAATTGTAAAGTTAAACCCAGTTTCGGCCTTGGCTCAGCAAGTCTGATCACTTCCGTAGGAGGCAGTTCCTACGCGCAGCTGGTTATTCATGAATGGGGCGGGCCGTTGCTGAAGAGGCGAGCCTCGCCCGGCAGATACTCCGGAAAGTCTAGATTTTAGTGGCGGAGTTCCTCCCGCACACCGGGCAGGCAATTGAGTTGATCTTAGCGGCCCGAAGTCTCCGTAGCTGGAGTCTCTTAGATCCATCAACTGCGGCGAACAGTACTAAAACAAGGCAACAACGCTTAAAGAAAAAGACAAGAGTTTCTCACTATATCGAGCTGGCTTTTGCTAATTTAGCAATTATACTTAAACACACAGTATACAATTGCCGGGGGTTGTCTCCGCTGCTTTCTTCTTAGTAAAACAACCAATTCGCGCCCTTGCATACTGGCCCATACATCGAGTCGAGTTTCCTAATCCATGATAGTCCGTCCCCCTTGGCTTTTAAGCTCGGCTAGCCATTATTTTCCTTATTTTCCTTCCTACCCTAACCTCTTTGTCCTCTTGGCATGCCCTAAACTCCATCTAATGCCTTTATTAGCGCCGTCTACAGCGACCTTCCGGGAACAGGCAAAGCTAAGACTTTATGGATTGCCACGAACCAATAGGTAATAAGGCTGATGCAGATAGTTTGCGCTCATCACACATGGCGATTTGTAACTAATTTTACTAACTAGTCAATGGGGTAACGAGTTTCGACGCCGCCCCACGGCCGGCACTCTAAGATAATGATGTGCGTGACACACACCACACACCGGTAAATCTATGCTTATCTTAAGCTAAAAATTAAGCTAAAAATTATTATTCGTCTCATCGCTGGCGCGGCGATCAACCGCTCGCGGACTATGAATAGTGTTACGCTAGCGTGCTCACAGTCGGTGAAGCTTGCCGAGGGCATACGAAACTCGAGCACCCACGTGTTACGAACGCATAGGACGCACAGGTAGGGCTAAGTAAGTTAGACTAAGTTAAACACACTAGTATCTAGAATAGGACGTAAGGTTATATAACTTATAAAGTGATTAATAGATTACTTATTAATTACTATAATTAGAATAATTAATAGATAGATAAATAATCTAACTATCTAAGTAATTAATTATAATAATTAATAAGTAATCTATTAATTACTTTATAGATTATATAACCTTATATTCTATTCTAGTATTAGTGTGTCTAATTTAGTTTAACTTCTTTAGCCTTATTTATATATTCTATATATTTATAATATTACTATACTTAGTTTACTTTCTAGATAGTATTATAAGTACTTACTAACTTTTAGTAGATGTTTTATACTAGCCTTCTATTTAGTCTATTATGTATATAATTTAATAAATATTACTTTTATAATAGTCTCTATAAATTAGTATAAAAATATAGTCTAATTTTTAAGCTACTATACTATGGCTTATTCGTCTATTATCAGTTTTTAAAGGAAGCATATAGTAGTTTCTCTTCTAGGGACGCACAGCTTCATAGCAAGGGCTAACATAGAGTCCTTTAGGAATTAGGGCACACTCTGTCTGCATGCCGTGCCAACGGCCTTTTATTTAATAGTTGCATCCATTAGGTTAGTATGGCTTCTAGCCGTGTAGCGAAAGCCATACTTACCCTTTCTGTTAGTGCCCGGCGCTCCTCTCGCTTCGGGCTTACATGTAAGAATACACGGATAATAGCGTCGAAAGGGTCACAAGATTCAACATCATAAAATCCAAAGGGCGCTTACAGGTATACTTAACAATCAAAGCTATAGACAACAATACGTAGATAGAAAGGTAGATATACTATATATATAAATATACTAGTATCTAATAAAATAAGTTACTTAGTCCTAACAGTAAACTCATTTCCATGCTTCTCTAGAGCATTAAGCTGTAGGGAGAGGTAACCATTCTGTGGGTCGCGAACATACTGAAGATATTCACGCTCAGTATCCGTCGTATTATCGGCCAAGATGATAGCGCCTGGGTTCAGATGGGGCTCTAGAAGCTGTATGATAGGGCGGTATAACGACCAAGCGCCGTCTAGCAGCACTAGGTCGATTTTACCCCCGACGCCACCAGCGAGAGTCTCGCGGGCGTCGCCAACGCGAAACTCGACGAGATCGGTAAGCCCGGCAGCGGCTATGTTGGACTTTGCGCGCTCGATCTTGCTTGGCTCGATCTCGGTAGTGATCAGGTGGCCGCCGCCGCCGTTGTCGCGCAGCGCCGCGGCGGCGTAGATGGTTGACACGCCCATCGAGGTGCCGAACTCGACAATGCGCTGTGCCTTGGCGGCGCGCGCACTCATGTAGAGGTGGCGCCCAAACTCGGGTGAAACGGAGAGGAAGTTTTCCGCGTATTCCTTATAGGTCCCTCGCAGGTCGTTTCTTTCCGACTCAAGCAACTTGGCGACCCAGTCGCCCTGCAAGGCAGGGTGGTTGGGGTCTTGGTCGCGCATTCGCCCATCGGCAATATCAGCTTCCTTGTGGAGTCTTTCAAGGACTTCTGCGACAATACCGGTGCTGATAGAACCCATGGTGTAGTAGGGATACAACTGTAGCTGTCTAATGGAGCTGAGTAGTGTAAAAGAATAGTGAAGCTTATCGAATTTGTATGTGTGTGAAGTAGCTTTCTGGTCGAGAAGCATCGGCCCTTTGAGCTAGAACGAGTGACTTAAATAGTCATTTTGATGCCGCTTATATTAGAGTCTCGGCTTTGTGTCAGCCATTCGGTCACGGGCAAGGTGCAAGCGAGTAATCACCGAGCCTGCCGATGGCAAGCTGGCCTCGTCATCACGCACGCATGCAGTCCCATTTCAACAACTCGGTAGTCCGAGGAGTCTAAGTGCCGAATCTGCTATAAGTGGGTTACGCCTTGAGCCTTATCAACTCAGACTAGAGTTGAAACTCGGGATCAAGGCCGTAATAGAACCGCGCCATGATTCGATCTCCTGGAGACCTTTTGGCGTTGGCCGTGAGATTGAAATAGTGGACTCTCGCATTCCCGAATAGGAAATTCGGACTCGGGCTATCAGTTGTAGGTAACTAGTCCAATCGATAACTAGTGGGGTTGTCATGAGGACCAGGATAACATTAAAATGGAGGAGGAAGCTGATAAGTCGTGGCTCAGGGGACTGCTGGGGACACTGGTTAAAAAGGAGTGCCTCCCACGAAAACCGACTAAAAATACACTAAACTGACCCTTTTGGGGGTCATGCGTGCGCGGCGAACACGCCCTTCACTGTCCACCCTACGTGGGGAGATACACGTTGAAACTTGAAAGTGGTGGCGTAATTGAAGAGCGTACTGGCGCAACGCAAGACATCGGAGACATCTGTAGAGGGGTGAATCACATGTACCCTTGTGTGACAGCAGCTGCTTTTCCAATGTCAGTTGCCCAAAATACGTTCGTCATCGAGACTCTAGTATGATTCATCATCTGCCCTTGAGCATAGTAACATTGATTCCATAAGAGTTCCCGTTTCTTGTGTGTTGTAATCTATATTGAGTAGTAGTGGCTAAACCTAGATCGCCCCGCAACAAGGTCGAACGTAGTAAACTTTAAGTCCGGGATGAGTCTTATCACATTCGGCCTCGGGCAACCCGCGTTGGTTTGTCCAGCCCTGAAGTGGATTGGGATCTTTTCTTGCCCCGGTCAAGGGGACTTGGGTCCAGCTTCAGCCCTGCCGCGCGTGCTTTTTGGCAAGACGCGGAAGCTGTTGCGTTGCTAGCGTCGTGGCGCCTCCCTGCCTCAGACGAAACCAACGAAAAGCGAACAAGGACTCGTCTACTAACAAGCCAATATTCAATTAAAGGAAGACGGGCGTTGTGAAAGTGTTAGTCCTAGTTGCCGATCATAGCTATGCAAGCAACTCGGACACTCTTTACGCGGCCCGTCTCAATCGAGCGCGTGTTGAATTGTGACGATTGTTATGCATTCAAGTAGCACAGAGATCATTTTGGAAATGCGATAGATGTATGCGACCCTGGTCGTCCACGATAGTCCCTCAGGTGTAAATGGTGGTAGTGCCGAGAGGTCCCTCTTTCTACTTAGGATCACTTATAACCTTCGAGCGCATAAAAGCGGCCATCTCTTCGCTTACTGCCTTTATCTCATAAATAATACCGTCATCCAACCCCAGTCTACTTAAACTTTTATATGGCTAGCAATTTCAACGGGTGTGTCCTGACAACGCCGGCTCGACACAGGATCAGCAACCAGAGCGATGCCGAGAGGATTTCGCTCGACAAATATCCAACATAATATGGCAAATAATACACTGAACGCACTATAATAATGCTGTGGAGAGTTGAAAGATTATCTGGAATAGACGAGAGGAGAAGCGTGCTCTGGCTTGCAAAAAGCTTAGAATACACGGTGAGGAGATGTCAGGAAGGGCTCACGGCTCCGGAGTGTCTCGCCTCAAACGACATGGTAAACGAGGTGACCAGCACAAGCATTGTATCCCTGTAACAGCAGGGACGCCTTTTTGCTCGCATCACTTCTCCCTTGCCAGCACAAGTGGTCAAGTACCAGAAACCGCCTCACCTCCCCTGTCAACAGCGGCGCATGGCGCCCGAACTGCCACTACTTTACCTATGATCTTCCAGCCTGATAGCTGTGGAGTTGCGCCACCGCGGCCCGATTTTGCGCCAACTCAGAATTAAACGAAACATTTATTGTCTATTTTTCCTTGCTTAATATGTTACTGCAGACCTGGCTCCAACAACAGTCACATAGGGTGTTATATTTTAAGGTAACAAACATTTACGGTACATTCTGAACTGTAAAATAGCATATACCTTCGTATCCTACAACTTCGTTGGAAGATAACCTCGTCGTTACTTAAATGTATTCTGGGAAGGTCATGCCTTCCATCAAACGTTTTCTGTGGTCAATATTAGCACACATTCAGCAACTAGATAATAGATCACTTACACTGCGTTCATTTTTCCCCTGCTGAGATGCATATCCCCATACTTGGAGCGACGAAACTGACAATCGCGCCGCGGGCAAGATGGATCTAACGGGCAATGATGGCCACGCGAGCAATACATGTCAGTGCATACCGGGCCATTTTGACACGGCCCTGTGCGCGCCCTGAAGCGCAGGACACCCACTTCCTCGGGTGTGAGTTCCATGGCATGCTCCATGCTGCAATTGGTCCCCCGGTCGCATCCGCCTTCTAGGTAGTGCCTATTGCAAAATGCACCTTTCTTTGCCTTCGCTAATTTCTGTGTGAATGAGGTCTTGGCCTCGCGGCTGGAGACATCCTGGATTGACGCATCGATGCGGTTGTCGTCTTCGTTTAGGTTGATTACTGCGGGTTTTCGTTTCTTGCCTTTGCTAATAACAACATTCTGATCTCCGTTGGCACTGCAGACTGCGGCGTAGCTATCAGGTCGCTGTTCCGCATTGCCACGGCGCTCAAGCTGGGGTTCGACCATGGCTGAACTTCGAGGGGGTGTTGTCACAAGAACAGAATTTGGTACGCTCTGGACGGGCGATGATGGCACATTAAAAGAATTCTTGGGTTCAAGTGGCGCATCGCGGAAGACATCGTCGAAGTGCGTTATAGAGAGCCCCAAACTCCTGAACGCCGGCTCTGCTGGCGTTGTTTCAACAAGGACAACGCGGTCGCGATTCTCATCGAGTAGCGGGCGCAGCTCGTGCATGTAACCAGCATCATGGCAGGCGACCAGGAATATCTTCTTGCAGTGTTCGTCCATGTAGTGCCATTTCAGTAGATCTGGAGGTCCCAAGATTAGTCTCAGTTCAGCAAAGAATGCACTCTCACGCGCTCACGTCTTATCTTGGAGTCGGCATTTTCTTTGCCATAGTCAACATCGATAAAGTCAAATCCAGGCCTAGTGTTTGTGAAACCTCTAGCAAACCTCTGTATATCGTCGCTATAGCGAACCAACCCCGACTGGCACAAGACCTTGCCGAGGCCCCGGAAGTTTGCGTACACCCTGGCAAAAACCTCCACATGTTCGAGTGTTGTTTCACGCAGATTCTTGTCGACATGTTTTTTAAGTCTATATGCCGCCGTGGATCCGCCAGTTTCGGTATTTCCCATCAAACTGTCTTGGAAGTTGGCTCCGTCGCCGTCGACAAGTACAATCACGTACGGATTCCTTGCCTTTGCAGTGATCACTTGTTAGAAGAGTTGACGTATTCAAAAAAAAAAAAAAAAAAAAAAAAAAAAAAAAACTCGGGCTCATCTACCGCTTTCTTCTCATAGACCTTATTCTTAGCTTCGAGATCGTGGCTTATCATTTGGTATTGACGTCTAGACGTCGTCTCGGATTCAAGGTTCATCGTAAGACGATTAATTTCGTCGTTCGCATTCCTTAGACTTTGGAGCAGTTTCTGTAAGTTGTTCAAGGTTAGTAAGGTACACTAAAGTTATTAGTTCTGTGATGTCACTGACGTGGTACACAACATCCCTGTCCTCATCCTGCTTGGACCACTCTTTGATGTGATGCTCAAACTGGTTGACAGACAGCGACTCTTTCATTACTTCAGTAATTAAACCAGCTTCCATGATTTCGATTTTCAATATAGAATCAAGCGGTTCTGAAAGTTTGCATGGTTAACAGAGTTCCAAGGTGCTTTGGAGGCGGGTGTGGCACCTTTATGTAGGTGGTCATTACAGATCGGTCCGTTCTACCCTTGCCTTGTGCTAGACTAGGACAACGAAATGTTTCAGGAGCGCCCAATCATCATCACCCACATGAGCCAATCCCAAGCACTTGCGGGATGCACAACAACGACACTCCTTCAGCTTGGGCAGCAAGAGGTCGACCTTTTTGCGCGGCGGGCGATACGCCTCACCAGCTAGCCCAGACTGTCTGGGGACCATTATGCTGCAAGGATAAAGGTATTCTCCCTCTGGTTTGCTAGCAAGGTGCGACTCCACGTATGTAATGAGGCATTGGAAATGCATCGTCTTATAACCGCGGCACACATTGCTTCTTGCCTCCAATGAGGTTAAGGGGACTCAGCGTAAGCCAAAAGCTGCCAGTTCAATGCTAGGTCAGATAAAGGATGGCATCATTAGGGCTTGAGCAGCATGATACGGACGCCACCAGAGGCTGCAGAGGTTAAGGTGCCCAGAGTGCGGCCGAAGCAGCGTGGCGCCCGAGAAATGTTTCCCAATGATCTGCCAGCCTAACTAGTTAGGCATTGGCTCCTCGAAGCCTATCATTATCGAAGATGCCTATTGAGCATGGCACCGTGATGACTCAGGAAACAAGTCATATCCACGCCATATGCATGCAGGTCTCACCACCTTGATCGCCTGCATGTCCATGGGCCTTGGTCTACTCCCCATCCCTGGTCAAGCATAGATTATTTCAAACTTGACACGAGTCTCCTTGATCTCACCCCTTAACCATCAAAATCACTCGATAATGTCATTGTTCTCCAAACATGGCAACGGCAAATTTTACGATGGCAGGTGGTACTGTGGCCGGGATGAAGAGGCGAAATGGCACACATCTGCAAAGAGAAGAGCAAAGGTAAAAGGTGTACATGCCCCAGAGCATTCCACAAGCACTATGCATTCTGCTACCAACATAAGAGTTGCATGCTGCAGAAGATTGGGGGCCGACAAGGATTGTAAATTCTTCCTCACAGCGATAACGATAAAAAAGGCGAGGCTGGAGAAGTCCTTCGAGGTTCCGCCGGTCCCAAAGACGCCAACGCCACGCCGCATTTCCGAGTCGATGTCAACGCCAAACACGCTAAGGTGTATTGTCAGGACGGCAAGCCGGTCACGATGCGTTTGGCCCTGCAGACGATGCCGGCCAGCCGGCTCCGAAGGCTGCTTGCTCTGTGGTATCAGAAGGGAAGGGCGATGACCCAACTACAGGAAAGTAGGGCTGGCAGTGCGACATGGGCTGAGGATGTGCTGATTGAATGCGCACTATGTGGCTGACGCTGTAGAATGGAGGTGAAGTTGACGACGGACATGAAAATGGCGGTTGACGAGAAGCTAGTAATGTGGGACTCAATCGCCACGCTCAGAGTAGTTTGTTGGATTAGCGCGTATGAATTGTTGCTCGTTGCCCTCACGCGCCTTGTCTTAGGGGTTTTCTTCCTTGCGCGCCTTTGCTTCCAAAGTCACCTTTGCAAAGGCAGCAACACTCTCTATGGCCAGGCTTGATATCGCGCGGGAGCCCACAAACGGAAATACACCGCCTGGGTAAAGTAAATGATGTCCACATCAACTCGAGCTTACGTAGCGGCTGCAAATAGTGATGGCTTGCAGTCCACAACTAGTACTTCAGACTTACGAGAGTTGCTCCGTGACACAACCCCGCACATCGTAGGCTGTGTCATGGACTGTAAGGTTTATGGTGGATTCTATGGATATTCAGCCTTGTCGGCTGCTATTGCTTGATCTTTTTAAGGTCTCGGTGGTCTAACGGTCTAACCTAGAAGCCGTCGGTACAGGCTGCTAGCGCCCGCACAAGCCAACTATTCCAACCCATGGTTGATGGAACGATGTAGATGCGGGGAAGCCTAACCGTGTTGCTTTTCATCGCCCTAGTTTCAACAGGATTTGTTCTGCATGTTGCCGAGGCATAAAGTTGCCTACAGGAACGATGCGATGCCGTCGTACCACTCGATTGTGGTCGGCATTCCAAGCCGCTAATGAAGCTAGTAATGTAATATAACTCAGCTTTAGAAGTTAATATCAATAAGCTGATTGAACTTGTGCAGTTCGACGTCGCTTCACATTAATAGAGATGACGCCCTCGGGCTCCGGAGTGCCTCTTTGCATTCTATATAATTTTTATAGGCGATTCGCGTAAACCGTTTTAGGACTTATTCACGTAGGCAGTGGTCCAGGGTACTAAAGATTAAAGTCGAGATGCTATTCACGGTTAGCAATACTAGTTTGAATGTCATCTTAGGACATTTATGTAGCACTCTTAACATCCAAAGATGACAATTCAAGATGAAAGCGGAGACATCTACCCCGATGCCGGGCACAGTGTGTAGTCATGGTGTAATTTCTGGAAGGTAGCCTGAATGTCCTATGAAGTTTGGCCTGCAACGGCGCAACTTGCTTCTGAATCCCTCAGATATCGTCAACGAACTCAACAACTAGATCTACCGGCGGCTGTCCAGCGTCCTTGGGATCTTCCTGAAGGCCCACAAGACTCTTCTTGGTGTCACGGGCAGCGACATTTTGAAGCTTCTCCTGAGTCGTGATCATGTGCGAATATGGCTTGCCCGCATTATCAAGAATAGGCACCGTGATCTCGCATGGAGTTGTCTTGGTCAAGTCTCTCTGGCATTCCTTGTTGCCAAAGTCGGAGAACTGCGCGCAAGGCCCGAAGAAGGTGTCGAGGATGTCGGTGACGGGGTACTTCTCGGCAATGGGGGTCGTCGAGAAGGTTCCGCAGGCATCATATCCACCACCACAGTCAATGATGGGATAGACAAAGCAGTTTCCAGGCATTTTGGCCTCGTATGTAATTGTCTGAATGGTGCAGCGCATATTTGGCGGGCAGGACTTCTCCACTGAACGCTCGACAGTGGTTGCCTTGGCCTCGGCATACTGCTCGTTGTACTCGCCCGAGACATCGCCGTTCAGACCCAAGATGGATGTGGCTGGGGATAGCTTCAATCCAACCTTCCATCCCTTTGTGGTGGTACTTGTAAGCATCGTCGATGTCTTGGTAGTGACCTTGTCGGCCATGTGCGTGCCGCCATCGTGTCTGGTTTCAAGGTCGGCGTCGACATTGGCGGTTGCACGAATAGTCGCATTTCCGATGCTTTCCAACCAGCTCACATTCCGAAAGTACACGGTCTTGCAGCTCGTGATCATGGAAGGGCAGACGGGCTCGTTGGTGATGTCGGCAAACTGATAGGGTGGATTCTCCTTGTTGACATGGATATCGAGAGCGCGCTGCAAGTCATCGACACGACTCTGGACCTGCTGTGCAGAGGTTATATCCTTGGACGTATCCCAGGACCATACCGAGCCGACGAAAACGAACAGAGTAGTTGATCGGATGGCCACCATTGCGAGTAACGTGTGTATCTTGTAGTTAATGAAGGGTAGGCAGTGAGGGCTAAGACTAAGGCACGTCAATTTTACAAGGTGAACAAAGGCAACTCGAGAAGCTTGAACCTACTTTTAGTTTTGAAAAACGTTGAAAGCTTGATATGGTTGCTTGGTGAGGAGGGACCTGGAAGGGAGATGTTGTCATTTTTATACGCAATCTGGTTGCACTGTGATGATGCCACTCGATTCTGTAACATGGTGTACTATAGAACAACTCGCTGTGTCGCAGACAATCATGACTCACTATACAATAGTTTGTTAAGATGCAAGCCTTTTCGGTGACTGGTTGCTCAATTGCCGGGCCCTCTGTTGAATGTGTTCGTGGATTATCTGGGCTGACGCTTGGTCCTCCCGCCAAGCTCTTTGCCCGGTTCATAGGTCGAGTTTGGAAGGCTCAGCTTGCATAATTATCCAACCCCTTTGCCCTGATACTCTGTATAATCCTTGCCATAAAGATGCAATATCGAAAGATAAAGAGCACAACCCCCTGCTTGAAGACATTTTGCCGGTGGCATCGGCCGAGGTCAACTTATATACATGCACGCCTTAATATTTGACACGTTGTCTCTCGGTACTTTAACCAGCGCATAAAAAGGCAACATACCATTCTTACAAGTAATCAAAGTCTATGGAAATTCATTTGCAAGTTTACATGCTTTACCTGTTCTTTTATAGGAATGAAATCCAGTATCAATCTGCCTTGCCGGGTTCAGCCGCAAGTGCTCGTACATAGATAGCTATCCACCCGTTGGTCCACATTACAGTGTCCTTGTCTATCACGATTCAGTTGCTGGTCGACTGCGACGGGAACTTGATATCTGGTAGTCCCTATAAAATAGCAAACATGCGCGACTCAATCTGAAACTAATAAATCTTGGCGTTGGTGGGTGGTTCCTGGTTGCGGACGAGATGTACTTTACAGCCACCTTCCGTATGCTTCCTTTACTGTGCAAGATGGGAGTTTTTGTCCTGTAATTCGAATAAATATATACACTACTATGCTGAGACACATTATGAGACCACCCTGCAACTATTCTAATTTATGACATTTTATTATGGCTTTGAAGCCTTGTCATCTGATTAGTCACTGAATACCCTATAACTAGTAGAGTCACCAAAGATTGTCAAACATATAACTCCTGCAGCGAAAATACTTAATAAGCCAGTGGCTGACAACCTGACGGGCAATTCGAGTGTAGAAATACAGTTTTCAAGCTAGTAACGTGAGAGTGACTTAAAAAAGATGGGTTTCAGAGGGTGATGCAGAGACGCGGCTTGCCAACCACAAGCTACTATTTGAAGCGGCCACTCTCGTGTCCTCCTTTATGGAGACCCTTGTGTTATACTCTTATCCGTACTTTGCCACCGAATCACACTCCGTTCGTGTGACAGATGGTTATGTGGTGCAGGTTTTTCAAGAAGCCATCTGAGTGCCTCTAGTGCCATTCCGACGACCCCCACATGCCTGCATCCATCGCAAGTTTTCCAGTTACCAAAAAGCCCACCCAGTCAATGAATGGCCAGCTAACTAAGCAATCTCTTACAGGTACCAAAGCTCCAGCTTCACTCTCCCAATTGTCCTTGCTTTCTATGCAAGTTTTACCGTGCATCACTATACCTCTACGGCCCTCCGAGTTGCGCTGAAATTCCACATCCGAAACTTAACTTTCGCTACCCACAGCTGCCGCGATCACGAACCCCACTCTGCAAACGGCGAAGCCCATCACCAAGCTGCTGCGCTTTGCCTCATCCGCCGACCGCCAATGCCTGACCACTTGTCGCGCGGCAATTGATTCCCTCGTCAATCGAACCCGCGATTGTGGTATATCCAACCTCTTCGTTGTGCTCTCGGTGCCTAGCGCTCGGATACGAGCTGCGATACTCTCATCGGCTAGCTGCCCGATCATCACCACATCGCTCTCGACTACATTCACCGATTCCTCTCGACGAAAATATTCTATAATCAGCGTGAGGCCTCTGGGCTGCCAATGCAAACGCTTTGTATCGACGTGCCATTTTACTGCGCTTCCACGGTCACGTCCGTTACCACCGGGTTTTCACAGTCTGCACGGCCCCCCCAACTACGGATTTTGCCCTTTCCTTTGTCTGCCGCGGTCGCCGGCATAATCGCGTCATTCTGCTCTGATGGATAACGAAAGTAGTGAGAGCACCCCGTCTGGCCCGAGCAAGCCATCCACCGGCAGCACGCCCCAAGGACGCTCCGACTCGGCATCTGCTGCTACACCCCAACCGCCGCCCTCCTCATCTTCGTCGCGACCAGTTGTTGCTGGCCCTTCATCTACTGCCCATAGCTCGCAAAACTCCAAACGACGTCGTGGTCTCGGTATTGTCACCCCAAATGCGTGCACGGAATGTCGCAAGAAGCGTGCTAAGGTATGTGCTGCTCAAACGCGCATCGCCCTCTTATACTCTCCACGACAACGTTGGTTGTTCGATTGCAGCCCATCTGCAAATTGCTCCTACGCGACAACTGTCCGCTAACATCATGCGCTCCAGTGCGACGGCAGCAAGCCATGTGGTCGCTGTAGGGCCCAAAAAGTCGACTGTGTCTACGAAATTCCCGTTCGCCAATCCAAAGAAAATCTACGAAGCGAAATTGAGCAGCTGCGACAGCGCCAACGGTCCAGCGATCAAGTATTTTCCGCCCTGGTTCGCTCTAATCTCTGGGAGGATGTTCTAGGCCGCTTGCGCGATGGCCATTCTGTCGACAGCATCTCCGACTGGCTTGGCAGCAACCTGGCGTCTGAGATTGACCCCGTCGGTTCGCGAAGCTCTGCTTTCCCCCAGCACCAAGCTGGGGATACCGGTATGGCAACTAGTGACGCACCCCGTCGCTCCATCATACCGGCGACAGACTACGGCCAAGGAGCCCAAGGACTAGCTTCCATGAGCCTCAGCCCCTCCCAGTCGCATGCGCCTTACCACGGTCACCCGAGACAATCCAGCCCCTGGCAATTTGCAGCGCATGAGCATGCGGCGGCCAAATCAACGAGAAGCGACTCTCTCGCTGATGCCCGAAGTATGGCTTCTGAACTTCATGGCCCACCCCAGACGCGCGTTGGATATTGGGCCGAAACCATGGAAAGTGATGCCAGCCACGAAAGTCAACTCCCACGCTTCCGTGGCCTCGAACAGGTGCTCTCACCACTTAGCGACCCTGAAATGCAGCGTAATTCCTCGGGTACCTGGACTGGCATTACAAGCGACGTCAATTTGGTTCACCATTTACTCGCCCTGTATTTTTGTTGGGAGTACCCTACCTTTGCTTCCCTGAGTAAGGAACATTTCCTCCGCGACTTCCAAGACGGCCGTCATCGATATTGCTCGCCCATTCTTGTCAACGCGTTGCTTGCGTTGGGCTGCCGCTTTTCAACGCAGCCGAAAACACGAGAATTTCCAAATGACCCATATACCTCTGGCGACCACTTTTTCAAGGAGGCCCTTCGGCTCCTGAACGCAGAGTCGGACCAGCATTCACTCACAGTCATCCAGGCCCTGGGCATCATGTCCATACGAGAGGCCAGCTGCGGTCGAGACTCGGAAAGTTGGTACTACTCTGGCCAGAGTATCAAGTTAGCCATTGAAATGGGTTTACATCTTTCTCCGGAGCGTGGTGAGCCTGACGAGCTGGCTGTGCAGTCGGCCACATTTTGGGGTGCCTTTGCGCTCGATCAGTAGGTTATTCAACACGAGACTCGTTTTCCTATCTAACCTGGCGCAGCGCTTGGTCGCTGGCTACAGGCTCCCTCCCGCAAAGCTCCTGTTTTGCCCGGCTGCCAATGAAGCCAGGCATTATTGCCGATATCGAATCCTCCTTATGGGTTCCCTACACAGACGATGGTAAGCAGCATCGCCCGCCTGATTTTGGACGATCGCTAACAAGCATAGGCGCGCCTCTGCAACGTTCCTGCGAACAACCGTCCAACGTCAGGTCCGTGTATAAATGCTTCTGTGAATTGAGCGAGCTCGTCCACCAATCACTTTACATGCTGCACTCTCCTGGGAAGCCGCTGACGGCTCGGGAGCTACTCGACGTTTACACTCAGTACCTCAACTGGTACGACAGGATACCCGGGTCGCTGCGTCTGGGCCACAACTTTACCCCAGCAGTTCTTTTTGCACAGTATGTGCTGGTTGCCCATTTTCCCATGCTGAGCTAACCCGTGTAGCATGTACTATCATTTTGCCATTCTACTCCTCTTCAGGCCCTTGATCAAGCTGCACATTGTTGGCTCCAAAGTCTCACCGCGTGACGTCTGCTCCCAAGCCGCCGACGCCATTCAAAATCTACTCAAGTCGTATTCACAGCTATACACACTACGGCGGACACCGTCCTTTGTCCCGTACTTTGTGCTCACATCAACGATAATGCACCTCGCAATTGGTGCTACCAGGCTCTCTTCCGGCTTGAGCGGCGCCTCGACCACGGACACCGATACCATGGGCGAGAGCGCCAAGATAAACCCCCGCGTATCCGACTCGCTGGCCCAAGGTATCGCGGACCTAGCTGAGATGGCGCCATGCCATCAATTTGCTGAGCAAGCCCTTAACATACTGCGGTTTCTCGCCAAGAAATGGAATATTGAGGTAGAATTCGGCGGCAGCAACAACCCCGTCCCCGATGACTACGAGAAGCTTCTCAAACCCTACACGAGCAGCCTGAACTTTTTCGCGCCCAATTTCACGGCTGAAGATTTCATCTGCCGTTGGGGAACGGCTAGTATTGTCGCCGACCCTAACCAACCATCCCCTAGCCCGGGGACGGGGCTACAGGCTGCTGTGGACGATATTGAAAACCCATTGTTTTGGCCTTTCCCCATGCAAGGGCGGCCGATGCTACCCTCTGGGAAGGAGCTCTTACAAGCTGGCTTTACTATGATTTAAGTGTAAAGGCACCGAACGCAACGCCGCGCAAAAGCGTCCGGCTGCAATTTATTGTTCAAACCGATGAAAATAATACTGATGAAAATAATACGTCTATTCTGAATATTCATCAACTTTTTAATGATTGTAAGAGGACATGATTGGAGTGTGCTACTGCCATGGAGCTGATGATGGACCTTGGGCAATGTTGCTCGTGGCTACCAGCAACACAAAGTTGCCCCCACCGATGTTAATACTGTCTTTTGTTGTTTGTATACGTCTCGAAAAGAAAACCATGCATTCGCATGTCTAGTCGTGGCTCTCTAAAAGAATTAATGGCGCCTTTGTTAAAACGGGCAAGAGGTCTCCTCAGTCGACGCCCCTTGCTTCCGTTGCAGTTTCCGACATCCGGCTTTGAGGTCATTCCCGCGTCTACGTTGCTCGAAAAGGAACGCTACGACGAGTTTAAGACCGGCAACTATTGTCCAGTCAGTATTGCCGATGTCTATGCCTCCAACACGTATCAAATACTCGGCAAGCTAGGTTTTGGATCAACCTCAACTATTTGGCTCGCCCGCAACCTTCGGTATGCCCTCCCTGACTTTGTAATTCGACATTCCATTACGACTGCTAAATCTCGCAACCATTAGCGATCGCGAAAAATGCCTTGAAAATATTAACGCGGAATCATGGTGACACATGCAAAAACGAGCTCCAGGTCTGCAAATCCATAGAAACTGCCAATTGTCGCCACCCTGGCCATACCATGCGTATGTTTGCCATTGAGCGCCACGGGGGACCGCACCAGTGCCTCGTCCAACCGCCGATGTGGGATAGCTGGAAAGACCTTCTCTACTGAAACCCAACAAGTGGCCGATTCTCTGTGGCTCTGTTAAAGGATGGTCTGCGGCATCTCTTCCTGGCACTCGACTACCTGCACACGGAGTGCAGGCTCGTCCACACAGGTAAAATGTCCACATTTCAGGTTCATCGGCTGCATTCTAACATGATATTGATAGATATTAAAGCAGACAACATGTTGCATGCGATCGCTGACACGGGGATCCTCGAGTCCTTTGGTAAAGAAGATATGGCGATACCCTCTCCTCCCAAGTATGTCGACGGCGCTCCTGTTTACAAGTCTAGGCATTTCGGCTTGCCGGATGATTTTGGCAGGATTGTGCTGAGCAACTTCGGAGAAATGGTGCAAGGAGACGTGAAACGAAAGCACAACGCGCAGCCGGATGTGTATAGATCACCCGAGGTGACGCTGAAGGCTGCGTGGAGCTACCCGATCGATACATGGAACGTCGGAGCTATGATGTGTCTCTTGATCCCTAAAAGGACACTTTTTGCCGCGAGTAGGTGAGTGGGTCTGCTAACTAATAAAGCCATCCACAGATCTGGGATGTATTTGAGGGCGGGCACCTATTCCACGGCATCGATCCTAGCCCCGAAAAGGGGTACACCCCGTCTACAGCCACACTAAGCTTTGCGATCAAAAAAACTAACTTGTAGGTCGCTGTTCTATCTCAAAGGTCCTGTGCTTTCTCTCCGAACGCTTTAGTCTGATAGTATAGTACCTCTTTCTTCTCATTCTCGCGACACTGAATGTCCACTGAACCGCCTGCACGTTACGCAAGTTCGGGGGGAACGTAACGTCTAAAGACATTTTGGCTTTTATTGGCCCGCACCAAGCCAATATGAACCGAACCTACATGAACGCGGGGTACAGTACAGATGTTGATAGTGGGCTGTTCTGCGCTTTTGGTATGCAGTGGCGCCCGAGACTTAATCAACCACATCTCATTCAAGTCATCACCAGACAGGGCGGCTTGATGCGCCTACGCTTGACGCAAGACGTCGTGGAAGTAACCTAGTAGTAATTCCAGCAGAGACGCTGACAGAGCCGGCAGGCAAGAAGCAAGCATGTCCTTGCGCCGGCAAGGCCTGACAGCCTAAGTCATTATTATGCCTGAATTACGAAAGAACAGACTACAGTTCTTAACTCAAGTCTCGATGTTTGCCACATATACTATACATGCGGTGTTTCCCGAGCCGGTGGGTTGCGCATGGTTATCCAGCAACCCTACCAGCCAATGCGACAACCCGAATTTTGAGAGCAAGCATTCTGCGAGTTGACAAAAAGATATCCTTTATACTAAAATGTACACTATTCTTGCTATTTTAACACAGGTTCCAGCCCTTTCATAATTTCCCAATGCCGCACCTTTCCAGAGTCGTACCAGCCGCTATATGCTTTTCCAGGGCCCGGGTCTCGCCGCTTTCATCTATTTCTCTTCCTCAGGCTTAGCAGTCTCGGCGGGTTCCCCCGCTGAGGAAGTGGGCTCGGCACCTTCGGCCGGAGTGGTTCCTGACTCGGCAGCGCCACTCTCAGTCCCTTCCTCGCCGGGCATGGCCTCCTCGCCGGGCATGGCCTCCTCGTCGGGCTTGGGCTCTTCCTCGCCGTTGGGCTCGGGCTTGGCCTCGCCGTCGGGCTCAGTCTCTTCCTCGCCGCCGGGCGCGGGCTTGGCCTCGTCGCCGGGCTCGGGCTTTTCCTCGCCTGCGCCTTCACCTTCACCTTCACCTTCACCTTCACCTTCACCTTCACCTTCACCTTCACCTTCACCTTTTCCGCCGGGCTCGGGCTTGGCCTCGCCGCCGGGCTCGGGCTTGGCCTCGCCGCCGGGCTCGGGCTTGGCCTCGCCGCCGGGCTCGGGCTTGGCCTCGCCGCCGGGCTCGGGCTTGGCCTCGCCGCCGGGCTCGGGCTTGGCCTCGCCGCCGGGCTCGGGCTTGGCCTCGCCGCCGGGCTCGGGCTTGGCCTCGCCGCCGGGCTCGGGCTTGGCCTCGCCGCCGGGCTCGGGCTTGGCCTCGCCGCCGGGCTCGGGCTTGGCCTCGCCGCCGGGCTCGGGCTTTTCCTCGCCTGCGCCTTCACCTTCACCTTCACCTTCACCGCCGGGCTCAGGCTTTTCCTCGCCTGCGCCTTCACCTTTTCCTCCTTCGCCGCCTGCGTTGCAAGCTGCCAGCAGACCCTTGATGTCCAACTTTTCGAGGATCTCCTCCAGCGGGCCCTTGAAGATGTCTCCCAGATTTTCGGCGAGAACCTTGACGTTGGCAGCATTGGCGGCCTTGTCTTGAAGTGGTCTCAATGTCATGGCGTGAAGGAGCAGGGCCAGGCCTTCATCGGATGCCCCTTGAAAAGAGGCGGCTCGACCGGCGATCGCGGCGGGGGCGGCAGCCGTCACACCAGCATAACAGGCTCCAATGATGAAAGACGTCTTCATGTTGTCGGGATTGCACTTTTCGTTGTAAGTCTGTTGAGTGTTAATACTGCAGCTGATCTTTTGTAATCGATATGGAACTTACCAAGATGAATCCCGAGTCTTGTATATGTGTGATGTGTCTTTCGGTATGTTGTAGTGTCTTGTTGTCAATGGTGAGTGGATGGTTTATGCACTCTCACTCTCTCGGGGGAATGCTTCCTCTTTAAGGATTTGCAGTTGCTTAAGATGTGAGTGCTAAACATAGCCATAGGGCAGCTTGTCCCTACGATCCGAGGCGTGCAGTTGATACCTGCGTTTCAGACGCATACACGCCTGAGTGTGACTAGCCCCTGTGCACATTACTAGTTGCCGCTTTCTTCTGAATAGTTTAACATATTCCAAATTCTAATTTCTTCTCCACTGGCCCGAGTCGATCAATTTTAGACATGTAACACGGAAAGCCGTCGGAAGCTCCCGAGCTAGTATCTCCTAATACTGGCTGTTGTCCAGGGCAATTCAGTCCCATGTACGGTTACAAGACTATGAAGATACTGTTCTCTTGGCAAGTAAAGAGTTGAATCAATACAGAGCAAGAGAGACTTTCTTCTATTTTATTGTTATTTCCTTGCTACAAAAAGAGTCCAGTTCACTCTGCTCTTTAATATTCTATAAATAGTATAACTAATCTAGTTTTTTTATTTTAAGTCTAAACTAGAAATAAGCTTCTTACAAAGTCAGTGTACTAGTTGACAACATAAGCAAACGTTGTATCACAACACATAAACATGGGAAGCGGCCTGGTTTCACTGTGGGTTCGGGTAGGGTCTTTCCCGTTGGTCTGAGCACCTGCATGAGTCCAGAATGTAAATGTTACTGCTGTGATAAAGTCGACGATATACACTATTACCCCGCGGAATTGTCTATAGTTGAATCGACTAAGTGCCACTGAAACCCTGTCGTGTGGCGTCGTCGCTCTCCGCGAGAACACATACCTTGGCTCAAGTGGCTTGCTTAACTTAACTTTGCGCCTCACGGGGGTTCAAACAACAAAGGATAAAAAAAGACAAGTCGGGGAGGAGAGTTCTTTTTACCAAATTTCAAGACCTGACGAATAATGCCTCGCACGGAATGCACGCATTGTCCAGTTTTAGTGGCTTCAGAAGGTGTGCCAGTTGTCCGCCAAACGCTAACATGAACGTTTCGACAAAGCGCAGAGGCAAAGATTCCAAAAGTCAGGCAGAAACAGTTAAAGCGCATAAAAACAACATGCCAGGTTTAGGCCTGCTCCAATGAACTATAGAATTTTATCTCCAGGTTCCAGGCTCTCACATGGAGTCTCGCGCCCGCTTTCCACAGCCGTCGAGTCGTGGGGTTGGCCCCAGTCCGAGTCTGTGACAACTTCTCCCACGACTTTGAAACGACAACGATACATTTTGACTTGCACTCAAATCAGACTCACAACTGCATTGTATGACTGACCAACAGGAAAGATCGACTCCAACTCCGTCTTTGTAACGCATTGCTTTCTCCTCGCACAACTCAGTCAGGATGGGGGCCAGAATGCCGCGAGTCAGCCAACTCGCAATCCAACCAGCAAGCGCGCTTGAGGGTTGACTGACACTCGTACGAGACCATGGTGAGATCTACAAGGCGCTCTATTATACCTCAACTATTAAGTTGTCCCGAGTCACAAGATAAATTCGCGATTACTAACACTGTTTTGAAGCTGCCACCATTGGCTTCAACAGTTGATCTTGTTGTTGAACATTGTTGGCAACTGCGGGCGAAGCATGGGATCGACGTGAAAGAGGGCTGGAAGCCGTCCTTCCCGCGTGAGAATTCATCCAAGGCTAAGGCTATTTGGCGCATGATTAATGCCTCTGCTTCAAAGCATAACTTCCTCCTTTTCTATCTACCATTCCCTGCAGCTTTCTAAGTTGCTTTTTATTTGCATGCAGGTTGCACGCCCTGTTAACCGACACTGCAACAAGACGCTGTTGTCCTGGTGTTAAGCACAACGAATGAGGTCCAATATTATGTGAAATATGGTAATTAAATTAATACTCGGTATTTATCTGTCTCTGTGACTTTTCCATCGTCGGTCGTCTCTTGCCCTCGTTGGTTCTTACTGGTGGCGTATCGCCTTGCTGCCAGAAACGGTTGCGAGAAGACTAAGCCAGCTATTTAATATCAGTAGTATTATTTACGGGTACTCCATTTAGAATGTAGTTCATAATAGGAGAGTTTTTCTTTGTTTGCAAAACGCTTGTCCTTTGCTCATCCACGGGTCTTTTGAGCAAGTCTCTCTCATCGGCCACTCAGCAGATGTTGGCACTTGCCTTGCTGTTTCGCCGGGTCGGAGTTACCCGAGACTAGTAACCAGGTCATTTCAGGCCACCCGCCAGAGCCAATGTTGAGATGGATAAATAAAAAAAGATAGTTGGAGATGACAACTGTTCAATCTGTGTTAATTATTGGCGGCATCAGCTATACCGACGGCACGAAATAGAATTACTGCGAGGTATGCTGAAGTACAGCTAGCGCATGAGTACGATACACCGCGTACATGTGTGTGTCAAGCGCATAAAATAACAAGTTATGCAGTAAGCATACGTACGATACAAGAATGATAATAGATGACTATCCTAGCTGCGATGCTAATCACGTCGACCTCTGACCATCGTCCTCTATGACATTTGTTGCCCGGCGAACTGGCAGGATGCGAGCTCCCGGGTAAGCTGCACTGGGCAGTCGCAAGTTTGTGCACAATTTGCCATACAAATTCCCTACAAATCGTACGAAACCTTTAGCAGGACATGGTAAGTTAAGTGGTAAGTAGGTGAAACTACATGGAGGAACAACTCATTCGGGGTCTTCACAATTTCCCGTCGCTCAACTTGTAGACGTACGCTTTTTCTTGGCAAACCATATCAATAAGTAGAAACAATTCGAGATGCGGTTGAAATTAACCAGGCTGGCTTGGCCAACAAGTGCAACAAGTTACGTTAGTTAGTTAGAACTACCCACCTACATACAATTAACGTCAATCAACTGCCAACAAAAAATCTCGGCGGTGCCGACATTTCTTCAACGTACCAACAACTCTGGTTGCTCCGAGCATAGCATTGACCGCCATCACCGTTTTTCTCAGCTCGGCTACAGCGAGCGACCATGGACGGTTTTCTCGACTGGGTCTCGGGCACAGGCCCGTCGCCGTTTGCTGGTATCTTTGGCCAAGGGTTGGCCCAGCGAAGCAACACCCCCTCTGGTGCCTACGACCAAATTCTGACCCAGGACACGTCGGCAGCTGAGCAGAATAACAGGCTATGGGCGGTTGATCGCATCCTAGAGGTACAGACTGTGCCTCATTTTCTCGAGTTTGCCATCACTGGAGAGCTGCTGTCAGGCGGGAGAACGTCGCTGCCTCTTTTGGGGGACAACTTTGAGTATATCCAGGTTCCCATGTCGGAATGGGCGCCAGCTCCATACAGCCGCCATGAAATATCCACCATGGAAGCTATAATGCAAAGCATCGGTTCGACTGAAGATTCCAGCCGTCTTGTGCCCATCACAAAGGAGCTGCTCGCCATGAAGGCGAGGGTGTGGGAGGGCATCATGCCCCTCTCGGAAAGGAGATGGACCGAGCTGGACCTTGATTCACCTACCCGATTTCACGAAGCTTGCCAATTCATATCCGCCGTCACCAATGTTTTCCACTATCTCAATATACCGGGCATCAAGGTCAATCTACGAGAAACCTACAACCTGATTTGGGGCCATCTCGACACGTTCGACAAGGCTTTGCACGCGCTGGGAGCAGACAAGACAGATGCCGATTTTTCCATGGCAGCTCTCTGGCATGAATATATTGAGGATCATTTTGATTCCATTTCTACGAGCTCGCATCGCTGGGTCATTGAGCATATTCAACGTCTGCGAGCCCCGATACTACAACTCCTTTCCCAGAACCCCAATATAGGCCACCTTGAAGAGGATGACACTTATGGGGCGAGTCTGGCAGATTTGATCCACGATCTGCACGAAGGTGCTGCCCAAGCAGACAGCGGCATATTTCTCCAAACGGATGGCTTTCACGGTGCAGCAGAGGCCTCGCAGGACAACGTACCTGGCAATGCATCCTACCGCTACCGCGAGCAGCCCATCAGTTTCTCCGCCAGCACAGAGAAGCGCAAGGCTGACTACTACTTTCGCGTGAGATACCTGTCGCACATGGAGCTATTCAAGATGGAAAACCTACTCGAAAACTCGGAAAACAGTGTCCGAGGCAATGCCAAGGATCAGATACAGGCTGAGATGCAAGCGCGCCAAGAGCTGCGTGGCAGCGACACCAGAATGGATGAGCCGCCGCGCTGGGTAGCACAAGCGCGTAGGCATTTGAGTGAGGGAGGTTCTTTGCAATGGGGCTTTATTGGCTTCCGAACAAGTCACGACCACAGCGATGCGGACTGGGAGCAGTTCAAGGCCAATTTCGAGGCAGACATCTCGGACTGGGGCAGCGAGCTGGGCGACGTTGACGATCTCAGGGCTGTGAGCAAGGTGCAGTGGCGAGATGCCGAGGGCGCAATTGACGGCATACCAGCCGCCGAAAAGTAAGTAGATACTTCAGCCAGCATTGCTTCATCTGTTACACCTGGGGCCGTTCCGACGCTAACAAACCGTGCGCAGGGAATTTGCAGCCCTGAACACAGACGAGGAGCTCATGGAACAATTCCACGACGACATCTTTCTCATCGCAGACAAGGTAGCGATAGACTCGTACATCGGCCCCAATGCGATGTCCGGCCACATTCTCGCAGTAGAGGCAGGTTTCGATGTCAACCATCAGGATCCAGAGCGTGTAGTCGAGTCTCCAGGCTACCAGGGATGGCTGCGCTTGCCAGGCAGTCTGCTATGGGATGACCTTGGGGCTGTCATGCTGATGCAAACGCAGCACCTGATGGAATTGTGGCCTCTGGCCGAGGACGATGCTGCAAAGGTGTATCGTCACCCGCTTGGGCCAGTCCGCGGCTAGCCAACCTGGGGCCACCGACGGGGAGTATGTAGGAGCTTTTGATGATAAATAGAGGAAAAATAGAGAGACAGCCCTTGTTTCTTTTGTTTTTTTTTTGGCAATAATAATAATAATTAGGATGTTACAGTAACTAGTTAATGTAATGGTTGAGCCGCCTTGACCGCCTTCCCGTTTCTACTCCACCGTTCTTGACCTCCCCGCCACGCCGCAAAATGTGGCAAGCTGAGCGTACTACCCTGTCTGCCTGTTCGTTCCAGCTTCAACAAGCTTGTGCCCACATCACCACCCTCCCAAAGCTGGGCCAAACATCTGGCGCAAGCTTTTTTCTCACTTCACTTCCTTTTCTTACCTTCCTTCTCACACTTTTTTTCTGTTTCCCGACTCCACTCCTTCCACTCCACGCTTTGCGCAGCTTCCACTCTAATAGCGGCGTCTCCGCACCGACGGGCAGAGCGCTGCCTGACATTCAGTTCAACATGGTCCCCTTTTGGCCATGGGGTGTACGCCGCTCCCATTCTTTGTGCTTGTACATTTGCGCAGAATTCTGACTCCTATAGGCCGACAATACCTCGCCCGCCTCGTTCGAGAAGACCCTGTCGGCACTCTCCTCCAAGATCACCACCACCCAAACCACCCTCGACAAGACCCGTGCCAGCGCGCGTCGCGTTAAAGTTCTGCTTGTGCTCTACCTCGGCTTTGCATATCTCGTCTATGCCATAGTGCAGCTTGTCGTCGTCAAGTACTGGAACATGGGTGCCCTCGAGTGGGCAGGCATGGCCGGAGTCCCCCTCTTGTGAAGCAGCCTCCCCGTCGCTCTCACTCGCGATGAGAAGCTAACCGTGGCTCTCTGAATAGCATCGTTCTCGTCCGAAAGCTCTCGGGCGCCTACTTTAGCTTTCGTACCGACTCCCTAAGCAGGCGCTTAAAGACCCAACAAGAAGAGCGCGCCAAGACGATTCAGAAACTCAAAGACGCTACAAAGTACGACTCCACCATGGAGCTCATCGAAAAGTACGGGGGCGAGAAGAAGAAAGAAGTCGCACGCTCCGAAACCAAGGACGGCGAGCAATCTCACCAGCCCACGCCGCATGCCGGTGCTCCGAATCGAACACGTCTCCCTCCCCCTCCGACCGCCAACATACCAAATCGAGGCCCTCCTGCCGGGGTTTCTGATTCCGGTCCATCTTCCGTGGATTCCAGCGCCCTCGAGCCCGGAGCTGAATTTGCGCCAAATGCTTTCTCCCATTCGGCGCCGCCGCAGCCACAGCCTCAAGTTGCTCACTACACCCCTGGCCCACCAGAGACGCACTGGTACGATCGCATCTTTGATGTCCTCCTCGGCGAGGACGAGACGCTCCCCAAAAACCGCATCGTACTCCTCTGCCACTCATGTCGACTCGTGAATGGTCAGGCGCCACCAGGCACGCGCAGCCTTTCCGAGCTGGGTGTATGGCGCTGCGCGGCCTGCCATGCGACCAATGGCGCCGTCGACGAGGGTAAGCGCATCGTGGACGAGGTGCTCGCGTCTGCTCAGCAGGGCTCCGAAGGAAGCCACGCGAAAGTAGATGCTGCGAGCCAACAAGATGACAAGCCAGTAGATCTCGGTGATATCGGGGAGAAAGAATCCGCGGCAACTGGCGTTGAGAAGCCCGACGGCGCAACGACCAAGAGACGAGCCAAGGGTAAATGAGCCCCTCACCTTTCCTTTCTTCTATTTTCCCTCGTTTTTTTTTTGTATTCGTTCTTTACGACAATTGCACGGACATAGCACTGTATCTAGCTTTTTCCTTTTCCTTCTTTTAGCCAAGTTTGCGCCAAGGACCAGGGGCATGGCTGTATGATAGCAAGAAAACTGAATCTCAAACGCGGCAAGGGGGCGCGCGATTAAGTTGGCGTTCACGTCGGTAGACTGCTTCATCAGATTCTCGGCAGACTGTCTCATCAAATTCTCAACATATGGATATTGCATCCTCCCATTATAGTTTCCACTCCCATCAACTCCTGTTTCGCGGCACCACTATCGTTCAAAGTCATGTACCACCAAACCTTGCACGCACACAGTCAGTGCAAGACATGTCTCTATAACATCAACTCATCTATAACATAAACTCATTTCCGCATCACATCTATACCGTATACATGACTCCTACACAGACTCGCACTGCCGCAAAGGTCTCGCTCGTCTCCGATTGTACCGCTGCATCCATGTCACATCATTCCACGCACGCAATAAATAATTCGGTCAATCTTTCGGACAGCAGAATGAGGCAGCCCCTCAACATGAATAATGAATAAGGCATCAAATGGCATCAAAAAGCATCAAAAAGCGTCTAAAGGCGTCTAAAAGGCATCAAAAATTCGATTGTCATGCTGCTCGTTTCCTCGACTGCGTAGACCAGCCCTCTATATCTTCGCCTCTGCTACCAACTTTCAGCCCATCGACTTTGATGCCTTTCATGCCAGGTGTATCCTCCAGCCAGCCATGGGCAGCCATTCCGCCTGCGTTGGCACGCTTATCCGGAATCAGCTCAAGCATGGGTGTCAAGAACGCCGAGATGCGTTTGGCCTCATCCTCTTTGAAATGGTATTTTTCGCGCAGCACGTCGGGGAGAGCCCAGTGGCGCAGGCGATGGATATTGCGCAGCTCGCCGCGACGGTTAAAGATTTCTTGTGACCACTTTCCGGTGAGGCATGTTCGAGGAAAGGGGCCGAGCAGCTCGATAATTTGCGCAACGTGATCGTCGTCTTTACCATATTTGGTGCCGGACTGGGGATCAAACAGGTAGTCGCCAGTGATGAGCTCAAAGATCTAAAAAGTCAGCGTGGATCCAGGCCAACTTGATAACACCGATTGATGATGGGTCGACCGCAAAAGAATTTGACCAAGCTCTATGGGACCGCAGGACTTACCATAGCCGCCATACTCCAGACGTCGGTACTAGCTCCCCATTTGCCGCCGAGGATGACCTCGGGGGACCTATACTGTCGGGTCTGGATGTCGTCTGTGAAGTGATGATTAACCCAGCAAGCGTTGCCGAGGTCTGCAATCTTGACGCTAATAATGTCTGCGGCATGTGCGTCCTCAGCCTTGCGCTTCTCGCCAGTGGCAGCCGTGGGAGACTTGTCGAGGGAAATACTCGAGACTTCGCGAGTAAGCATATCACTGACTTGGTTAGCAATTGAATACGTGGAATGGTGCGACGACATCTGCGTGCAACAGCATCTGCCGTCCCCCAATGGTCTGCTTGCGAATCCTTTGCTGTCGGGTGCCCGAGTGAATGTTCACTTACGCAGTCTTGTCGCTTTGCGATTTGTCGCCCTTGGGGGAAGGGTCTTTGCTCTTGGAGTCTAGAATGGTCAGTGACGGTTGACGAGAGATGGACTAGAGAAGGCGTACCATCTAGCATCTCGCCCAAGCTGGCCTGCGAGGTGACGGATGGAAAGAGATTTGAGTGATTGAATGATGAGTTGAGAGGCGAGGGCAGAGGCTGGCTACCAGTGATGAGAGTCCTTCGGCGGCGGCGACCATTTCGATTATTTTCCTTGTCGCCAGTGTCGGTCTTGACAACCCTTTTTACAATTTGCTCAACATCGCCGATTTCAATCAAGACATTTTCGGGCTTGAGATCGGTGTGGATGATGCCACATTGGCGGTGGAGATAGTCGAGGCCGAGCAAAACTTGCTTTGTGATTTGCTTGACGAGGGGCATGGGGATGCCGCGGTGATTCCAGCGCTTAATCAAACCCAAGAGATTCTCTCCGAGGACCTCAAAGACCATGCATACGTGGGTACCGTTGGGGCCTTTGTGCTCAAAGGAGTCGAGCAGGCTGACGACATGCTTGCGGCCGGGATGGTCAGGTTGGGCCTGGACGATGCGGTTGAGAAGTTTAATCTCGTCGATGGCGGTCTCGGTGTAGTGGGCGGCGGAGCGAACGACCTTGAGGGCAACATGCTTGCCGGAATTGTTGTCGCGGGAGAGCCAGACGGTGGAAAAGTGACCCCATCCGAGCTTACGGACAACGGTGTACTTGCCATCCTTGAAATTCTCGCCGACCTGGACGGGATGGTAGCCGCCCTTGCAATAGTCTTCGGAATCTTCTTCATCGGCGGTATTCTCGGCGGGCTCATCGGCGGAAGAGGACGAGGGCGAACCGGTGACGGCGGAGGCGAGCTGTTGAGTTCTGCATCAAGAGGATGGGAGGTTAGCAAGATTTGTTTCGGCAGAGTGATGATGGTGATGTTGTTGACAAGTGCGGTTCAGAAGGCGGGGGGAACGGCGATGAAAAGAGACAAGATAATGCAGCGAAATGACATGAAGAGGGCAATAAAGGCATTGTAGGAGAATGGTGATGAGGAAGCGACAAGCAGGAAGGGTGAAACAAGGAAGAAATAGCGGCGATGGGATGGCAAGAGAATAGCGGGCGGAAATGGTGTGTCGCGAGGGTGAGCGAGGGCTAACGATGGATGGGCTTGGTAACAGCGGTGATGGTGGCGGGGGTTCGGTCAGCGGTGGGAGGGGTGCAACCTTGACTTGATAAAGGTGCTCATCTTGTCAACATTGCGCAGCTCCGAGCGGGCAAGGAAGAGAAGGAGGGCGCGATGGAAGGGAGGCGGTGGGAGAAGAATTGGGGCGAGAGCGAGACAGCGATGATGAAGATCAAAGAAAGGCAGAGTTGGAGTCTTGTCGAGTCGGGTTGCGCGCTGCAGGAGGGGGGGGGG